AAAAAAAAAAGAAAATATTATTTTACCAGAGACATTATTATTAATAATAATCATATGAAGAAATCAATTAACACTTTTATTCTCTTTTTCAAATGATTTACGATTAGACAATCTATCTAGTAGTGAATAATCTTATTTATGTGACCATCAAGAAATATTATTTTATCGGGTTAATTATATTAAGAATTAGTTAATGCCTTTATTACCACTTCAGAAAAAACTAATCTATGATTACGCGACCATCAAAGAAAAAAAAAACAAATATTCTTATAGAACATTATTATCTCACCATCATTGCTAACAAAGAGATCGAACAAATAGTTTCATCTAGTGGTGGTATTCGACTTTTAAACAAGACCACACAATCTAATTCGATTGGGATTAGCAACATGCATATTAATATGTATTTACCGTTTTTATTATTATAATTGAAAAAAATTTTTTTTTTGGAAGTATTCTTTATTTGTTAAATGTTGTTGGTCACTAAAATTTTGGGGGACACCCAAATGACATTCCAGTAATAATTATTCATTTTTAAAGTTATAATAATTAACTTTCTAATGAGTATATACTTTATTCATCCCTGCATAAAGCCACAGAAATTCAAAGTTGGCGTTACTTTTTCACTTCAAAGCTGAAATCACTTTTCAATGTTGCCCTAAAGTATTCCTGGCTTTCATATGGTTATTATTTTATGGGGTACCGGCTAGTAAGCTTTAGAGAGAGACTCATGAAAAACTATTTTATAGAAATAGAAAGTAAGAATTACATATTATAGAAAAAAATCGTATTACTATACATTAACCTCTTAATTGTATTCACTTTAGACGCCTAAAAGAGTTTTTTTATTATCTAAATCTGTTATATATGTCATTATGGAATGAAGACATGCTTGTTATTAATTATACATTCAAGGTAATATTAGTTTCCATTTTAATATTTAAATATTTATTTACAGCACGAAGAAAATTTGAAAACAAAGCATTATAATGAGTCTGTTAATAAATCATCAATGATAGTAGTGGTAGTACTATTGGTGATTGTAGCGATTGTGCTATTAGTGATTGTGGCGGTGATACTATTGGTGATTGTATCGCTATTCTAGTAATGATAATAATAACCATAATGAAGATTTTCACAAATATATCCGATTTCGATATTTACTTGGCAATACACTGAATTATTCAATCAGGAAGCAGGTTTATCCAGGTTTGTTTTTATTGCTACTGCTTCTACCTATGAAACTGAAAAATAGTCTAACCTTTGCTTTCTCGTTCAGATTGAAACAATCCTGATACTGCTCAACTGAAGAAATTTTTCTTAGATAAATATTACTATTGATTACTGATTTTTGCTACTGGCTCCAAAAAATGTAAGCATGGTAATTGTAAATAATAGTACAATTGGTAAAATTGTGATTTATGTAAAATAATATGATCCTTGAAATCCTTGTGTTAATCTAATGTTCATTTGTCTGGTCGTGTGTTTAAAGCATAATAACAAATAAATAATAATAAATCTCTGCATAAAATTCAGCCAATCTAATTTTATGTACGTTCACGCAAGAATGATCGACTTTAAAGTCACGTTATCGAAAATTTTATTTTTCTCCCAGCGACTAAATGACTTTTGCATTATAGTAATAGATTAATTCAAATTTATTTTTAGATTTTATAAAAATCTGTCATCCTTGACGCAAAAAATTCAAATTTGGTTAGACAACATGCCAGATAATAAAAGTATGATTG